GGAGGCCCTCTCTCCCTGCTGTGCTTCAGAGCTGCTGGTGTCCTCCTACCAAGGCGGCCACTCTGGGGAGCCCCGCTGGCTGGCCAGCTACTCGGAATCAGGGCCGTCCCTAGCTTTTTCTGGGGCCCTACACAGCCCCCCCATGGGGGATGTGTCTGGGGCCCCAGGCCTCCGCGGGGGGGCTTACATGCTTTGCGTATGGGTAAGGACCGCCCTGCTCGGATGCATGTGTTTGGATCGGTGCCGAGATGTCTGCACTGGGGAACCTCTCTGGCTGGCCAGTTGCTCGGAGGAGCCCTTTTTATGAGCCTTTCCGAGGGATAGTCTGCTGGTGGCTTTTCTTTTCTTCTTCCTCTTCTTCTTCTCCACTTCACGACTCGACCCCTTTCAAAGTGAAGGCTCCGGGGATGATCCAGGGTCACCACCCACTGGAGTCCCCTGCAGACTGAAGTATTTTCTCCATAGGGAGGAGTTTTAACTTCAGCTCCCAGCTCCTCTGAGGCTGCCATTTTAGCTGTGGCAGGTAAAGCACTGCTGTGAGGGTCTACCGGCAGAGTGAGTGTCTGGCCATTACAGGAACTGGCTCCTGGCAGGAGAGGCACCGCTTGGAGCAGAGAGAGCCAAGCATGTCCCTGGGCAGGGGGTTGTCATCCTCTAGCAGGGAGGAATGCAGAAGAATATCATCTTTACTTTCTTTTTTTAACTGAAAATATTTTTTTTTAGTCTACTAGATGCCGGGGAAGGGGGGGGGGATGCCCCCAGACAGGGCAGGAAACTGAAGTTCTTTCTCTTAAACTTGGACAGGCAGTTCCAAGAGTTAAAACTATAGCAGCTAAGGACCACCTGCTGATTTGCAATTCGAACCTGGGGCCCCTCGGTGGAATAGACCTTACAGCCGAAGAGGTCCAGCTTCTTTGCCTCTTTAGACTTTGGTGTGGGGCCTTGGTGACCCTGCCTTTCCTTGGCATTGGCCACATCCACAACCAGCTTGTCCGGCTGAGGGTGGGTGACAAGGTATTCGTACGCCTTCGAGAGTACAAAGTACTTCCGTTCCACCCCTTTAGCCGTGGGAGGAATCGAAGCAGGAGTCTGCCAGAGAGTCTTGGTAGTATTACGGATGATCTTGATCAATGGCAAGGCCACCCTGGAAGGACCTTCTGGCATCAGAATGTCCACCACAGGGTCCATTTCTTCTGACACCTCCTCCGCTTGCAAGCCCAGATTTAGGGCTACTCTTCTGAGCAGCTCCTGATGGGCTCTACTGCTCAAAGCCGGTAAAGAGGCAGAGCCTGCTACTAACTCATCTGGGGAGGAGGGTGAAGAAGGCCTCATGGGCATGGGGTCCTCCTGACCCTCCAACTCACAGAGGTCCTCCAGTGCTGATACTTCCTGTGCAGTGGAAGATGTGGTGCCGGACGCAAACTCAGTGCCAGGTTCAGTGCCAGCCTCAGTGCTGGCCTGGGCACTGGGGTCCGAACCCCTTCGAGGTTCCCTCACCATGGAGGCAGATGGAGGCCCCCGTCTGTCCGAGGCAACCGAAAGGAACCTAGAGCTTGGTCCCTGGGCTTGATGATACACCCATGGGCTCCAGAACGGCCACTGAGCGGGCGCCTGCCAATGTGGTGGCCAGGGCATCATCAGGAGTTGTTGCGTCTCATTTTTCCTGGAGTGAGAAGACTGGTGCTAGCTACATCTGGACACGTATGATTCCAGCTCTGCCTCTGAGGATGAGTCTGATCTCGGACTCCACAGCAGTGCCCTGTGGGGCGGTGCCGGCAATCAGTGCTGAGGAGAGTGCAAGCGGTGCCGCAACATGACGAGTTTGACCTTGGAAAGTCCAGCCCCCCGTGCGGTGCTGGTGCTGCCGGTGCTGGGGAGTGCTGGGTTGCCATCTCTGTGGGGTCCTTGGCAGCCTCAAACATGTCAGGAGCGGACCGCATGTCCAACTCCACCATTTGGCTCTTCCGTCCTGGGGAGTCCAATGGAACCAGACCCAATGGTTCTGCCTGGGTGGCCAGACTGGACAGCACCAGCTGTTCCTGAGGAGGAGCTGAGTGTCCCAACATGGGACGCACTCCACGGGCACTATTGCACTCCACTGTTTGGACTGTCGGCAAGCGCCCCCCTTTTGGCTCTTCTCTGCTTCTTATGTGGTACCGGCAAGTGAGATCAGTGCCAAGAGGTCGCCAAACTCGTCTTTGTTGCCAGAGAGTGGCAGTGCTGTGTGTCTCTGGACCCTGAGTCATTTGCCGGTGCCACAGCTTCTCTCACTGAGGCCAGTGTACTGTGCACTATAGTGCCGGGCTTGGACCCCAACACAGTCTGAGCTGGCTGGGGACCAAAAGCCAACTCCATAAGGAGAAGCTTAAGTCTTAAGACTCTCTTCTTCTTAATCCTTGGGCAGAAGCTCCTGCAGATCTTGCACTTGTCAGGCTGGTAGGCTTCCCACAAGCACTTTAAGAAGAAGTCATGAGGATATCCCCTGGGCATAGGTTTCTTGCAGGACCCACAAGGTTTGAAGCCCTGAGGGGAGTGGGAAAAAAGGGGGGCGGGGAATAACCCCCAACAGAAACTTAGTCTACAAACTAACTAACTAGAACACTAGAAAACCTATACTATGTAGAACTATATACAATACAAGAATAAATGTTTGCTAGGAGAAGTGCGTACCCAAATCAAGAGAACGAAGTAGCTCCAACAACCATCACTGGCAGTAAGGAGGAACTGAAGAGGTGGTGGTTCAGCAGGGACTTACATACACCACCATAAGAGCGCCATTCCAGGGAGCTCCACAGCCGACCTGACGGGTACCACAAGGGGAAAAATCTTCCGACGATTGTGCACATGGCACGCACACACCTAATTGGAACTGACATGAGCAATCACTTGAAGAAGAACATGACGGTCAATGGCTATAATGTCCTCAGGGCTGGGGGAGAGATTTAAAATCATTATAGAAACTTCAGTATGTGTGTGCGCTTTACTGAGTAATCATGTGCTACTTGATTGTAGATCTTCATCCTTCTTCTCTTCCCCTTCCTTTTTGCCAGTTTTTGAGTATCACCTGTGCTATTTTGCATTCAGATTGTAAACTGTATCTATTTTTGTATGAGAAGCTTAGCAGATTTTGCATGCCCAGTTTAGCCTTAAAAATAATGTTCTTTTTAGGGCTGTCGATTAAGCGCAGTTAACTCACGCGATTAACTCAAAAAAATTAATCATGATAAAAAAATTAATCGCAATTAATCGCAGTTTTAACTGCACTGTTAAATAACAGACTACCAATTGAAATTTATTAAATATTTTGGATGTTTTTCTACATTTTCATATATACTGTATTCTGTGTTGTAATTGAAATCCAAGTGTGTATTATTTTTTATTACAAATATTTGTACTGTAAAAATGATAAACAAAATAAACACTATTTTTCAATTCACCTCTTACAAGTACTGTAGTGCAATCTCTTTGTCGTGAAAGTGTAACTTACAAATGTAGATTTTTTTTTGTTACATGACTGCACTCAAAACCAAAACAATGTAAAACTTTGCAGCCTACAAATCCACTCAGTCCTACTTCTTGTTCAGCCAATCGCTGAAACAAACAAGTTTGTTTACATTTAAGGGAGATAGTGCTGCTGTCTTCTAATTTACAATGTCACCAGAAACTGAGAACAGGGATTTACATGGTACTTTTGTAGCTGGCACTGCAAGGTATTTACATGCCAAATATGCTAAACATTCGTATGCCCCTTCATGCTTTGGCCACCACTCCAAAGGACATGCTTCCATGCTGATGACGCTCATTACAAAAATAAGTGTTAATTAAATTTCTGACTGAAATCCTTGGGGGGAGAATTGTATGTCCCCTGCTCTGTTTTACTTGCATTTTGCCATATATTTCCTGTTACAGCAGTCTCAGATGATGACCCAGCATATGTTGTTCATTTTAAGAACACTTTCACTGCAGATTTCACAAAACGCAAAGAAGGTACCAATGTGAGATTTCTAAAGACAGCTACAGCACTTGACCCAAGGTTTAAGAATCTGAACTGCCTTCCAAAATCTGAAGGGGACGAGTTGTGGAGCTTGCTTTCAGAAGTCTTAGAAAAGTAACACTCCGATGTGGAAACTACAGAACTCGAACCACCAAAAAAGAAAATCAACCTTCTGCTGGTGTCATCTGACTCAGATAATGAAAATGAACATGCGTCGGTCCGCACTGCTTTGGATTGTTATTGGGCAGAACCTGTCATCAGCATGGAGGCATGTCTTCTGCAATGGTGGTTGAAGCATGAAGGGACATGTGAATCTTTAGCACATCTGGCACGTAAATATCTTGTGATGCCAGCTACAACAGTGCCACGAGAAAGCCTGTTCTCACTTTCAGGTGACACTGTAAACAAGAAGCAGGCAGCATTATCTCCTGCAAATGTAAACAAACTTGTTTGTCTGAGCGATTGGCTGAACACAAAGTAGGACTGAGTGGACTTGCAGGTTCTAAAATTTTACATTGTTTTATTTTTGAATGCAGGGGGTTTTGTACATAATTCTACATTTGTAAGTTCAACTTTCATGATAAAGAGATTGCATTACAGTAACTGTATTAGGTGAATTGAAAAATACTATTTCTTTTGGGTTTTTGCAGTGTAAATACTTGTAATCAAAAATAAACATAAAGTGAGCACTGTACACTTTGTATTTTGTGTTGTAACTGAAATCAATATATTTGAAAATGTAGAAAACATCCGAAAATATTTAAATAAATGGTATTCTATTATGTTTAACAGTGCGATTAATTGTGATTAATTTTTTTAATCACTTGACAGCCTTAGTTCTTTTAAATGTGGGTTTTAATCAGCCGCTCTGAACTATCCTAATTCCAAATTAGATTAAGAAAACAATAGCTCTTAAGCAAAGCAAACCACACAATTTCTTCTTAAACTTATTATTATCAATCTGTTTTCTTTGTAAGGATGAAAACACAAGAAAACTGAATATTACCTCGGCTTTTGGCAGCTTCCTTCAAAGCAGTTAGGACTTGAGGCTTCAGGTCATCAGAAAGTAATCTTCCTTCAAGGCCTGGGAAGAGGGACCTAGCATGGCATTGAAAACAAAGAAGTATTGATCTTAGTATCCTTATCCAAGTCATTTATGTTGTTGTTCAATAGTTTCAAATACTGTGAAACAAATTATATATGTATTTGCCTATATATTTCGAAAAGTTTTCCTTTTGCAGTATTTTCTTTAAAAAACAAAATATTTATATAGCAACAGAGAATCCGAAGAAAATTAACCTTCTAACTATTCTGTACTTTTGACAGGTGGTTTAAGAGCGTTCTTGTTAAAGATACCAGGTTTACAACTTGAAGACATTCAGATTGATTTTAATGTAGTTATACTCTAGAAAGAGACTTTTAAAATAGCTTCCTAGGGTTCTATGTCTCTCAGTGAACTGATATCAGAGTATAAACATGTAGGGTATGTAACTGCTAGCAATGAAAACTTCACCTGAGACCTGAAAGTCAGGCTGTGCTCTTCCTGGCTCTGAAATGACCAGCAACAAATAATTGTAAACCACCAATAACCATGGTAAAGGTTGGATGAATAGATTTTGTGCTTCAAACGGTCAATTTTCATGTCACAAGCCACAACACTTCAAGTTACCCTACATTACCTTATAGGTAGTGGTGGGAAGGAGCCAATGGTCATGATACATGTAGGTACCAATGATATAGAGAAAGGTAAGAGAGAAGTTCTGGAGGCCAAATTTAGGCTGGTAGGAAGAGATTAAAGTCCATGACCTCCACGGTCACATTCTCTGAAAGGCTTCCTGTTCCATACAAGGGGCCAGTACGTGGATGAAATAATGGTGAAGGGAGGAGGGATTTAGGTTTATTAGGAACTGGGGAACCTTTTTGGGGAAGCAGTGGCTTAACCAAAGGAAGCACCTTAATGGAACCAGACTACTGGCACGTACAATTAAAAATGTTGTAGAGGAATTTTTAAATTAAGGGCTGGAGAAAAAACAAAAGGTGTGGAGGAACACATGGTCAGGCATTTACACCCCTCAGGGATGAATTTATTAAAGGGGGAACTCTGTATACTAGTAAAAAAGATAGGGAAGAAGTTGGTAAAGTGCAGGTAGAAGGCAGTGAGGAACAGTCAAATGTAACAGAATCCTATTTAAATATAACATGTGAAGGCAAGCAACTGAATATTGACAAAATTTACAAGTACTTATGTACAAATGCTAGAAGTCTAAATACTAAAATGGGTGAACAAGAGTGCTTACCATTAAATTGAGGACATTGATATAATAGGCATCGTAGAAACTTGGTGGATAATCACTGGCACATGGTAATACCAGGATAAAAAATCTATAGGAATGACAGAGTAGCTTGTGCTGTTGGGGGACTGGCATTATATTTTAGAGAAACCGTAGAGTCAAATAAGGTAAAAATCTTGAATGAAACAACCTGTATCACAAATTCTCTATAAATAGAAATTCCATGCTTGAATAAAAAGAGTAAAGCAATAGGAATATACTACTGACCAGATGACAGTGATTGTAAAATGCATAGGGAGGTCAGAGAGGCTACAAAACCAGAAAGAGCAATAATCATGAGTGACTTCAACTAGCCTCATATTGACTAGGTAAATGTCACTTCAAGGTGTGATGCAGAGATAATGTTTCTAGACACCATATATGAGTGCTTCTTCAAGTAGTTAGTTCTGGAACCCACAAAGAGAGAGCTAATTCTTGATTTAGTCCTCAGTGGAGCACAGGATCTGTCCAAGAGATAACTATAGCTGAACTGCTTGATGACAGTGACCAGAATGTAATTAAATTTAATGTCTTTATAGGGAAGATAATACAAAAAACCCCACCCCAGTAACATTTAACTTTAAAAAGGACAGCTACACAAAAATGAGGATGCTTGTTAGACAAAAATTAAAAGGATCTGTCACAAGAGTTAAGAAGCATGGGGACTATATAAAAACCACCATAATAGAGGCTCAGACTAAATGCATGTGCCAAATCAGAAAAGACAATAAGAGGACCAAAATAATGCCACCATGGCTAAACAGCCCATTCAAGGCAAAAAGCCATCCTTTAAAATTTGTCTACTAGTAAGGATAAAAAAAAAAAGAGCACAACTCTGGCAGGTTAATTGTGTAAAAGTATAACAAGGCAGGCCAAGAAAGAATTTGAAAAGCAACTTGCTAAAGATGCAAAAAACAACAGTAACAAATTTTTTTAAGTACATCAGAAGCAGGAAGCGTGCCAATCAGACAGTGGCCCCACTAGACGACAAATGTATTAAAAGAGAACTCAAGGAAGACAAGGCTGCTGCAGAGAAGCTAAATAAAATCTTTGCCTCAGTCTCCATTGCAAAGGATGTCGGGGAGATACTCACATCAAAGCTATTTTGGGGGGGCAACAAATCCAAAGTACTGTCCCACCCTAACGTGTCAATAGAAGAAGTTTTAGAACACACTGATAAATGTAACAGTAATAAGTCACCAGATAGTATTCACTAAGAGTTCTGAAGGAATATGAAATTGCAGAACTACTAACTATAGTATGTAACCTATGGCTGAAATCAGCCTCTGTATCAGATGACTGGAGAGCTGCTAATGTAACATCGATTTTTTAAAAAGGGTTCCAGAGGCAATCCTGGCCATTACAGGCTGGTGAGCCTAATTTCAGTATCAGGCAAACTGGTAGAAACTATAGAAAGAACTGAATTATCAGACACATAGACACAATTTGTTAGCAAAGAGTCAACATGACTTTTGTAAAGGGAAGTCATGACTCACCAATCAGAATTATTTGAGCATGCCAGCAAGCATGTGGACAAGGGTTATCCAGTGGATAAAATGTACTTGGACTTTCAGAATGCCTTTGACAAGGTCCCTTATCAAGGGCTCTTAAGCAAAGTAAGGAGTCATGGGATAACAGGGAAGGCCCTCTCACGGATCAGCAACTGGTTAAAAGATAGGAAAATAATGTAGGTATAAATATCCATTTTTCACAATGGATAGGTAAACAGTGGCGTCCCCCAAGGATCTGTATTGGGACTTGTGCTGTTCAACATACTCATAAATGATCTGGAAAATGAAGTGAATAGTAAAGGGCAAAAAGTTGCATATGACACAAAATTACTCAAGATAGTTAAGTCCAAAGTTGACCGTGAAGAATTATTGGGGGATCTCACGCAACTGGGTGAGTGGGCAACAAAATCTCAGATGAAATTCAGCACATATAAGAGCAAAGTAATGCACATTGGGAAAAATAATCTCAAGTTATATATAGTGATGTGTTCTAAAGTAGCTGTTACCACTCAAGAAAAAGATCTTGGATTCTCCATGGATAGTCCTCTGAAAACTTCAGCTCAGTGCTCAGCAGTGATCAAAAAGGCTAACAGAAGGTTAAGAACTATTAGAAAAGGGATAAAAGACAGAAAATATGCCACTATATAAACCCAGAGTGCACCCACAGTTTGAATACTGTGTCCAGTTCTGGTGGCCCCATGTCAGAATGAATCTAGTGGAACTAGAAAAAGTACAGAGAAGGACAACAAAAACGATTAAGGGTAGCATCCATATGAAAAGAGATCAAAACACAGGGACTGTTCATTTTAGAAAAGAAACAACTAAGGGGTGATATGACAGAGTTCTATAAATTCATGGAGAAAGTGAATAAGGAAGTGTTATTTACCCCTTCACATAAGGTAAGAACCAGGGGTCTCTCAATGAAATTAATAGGCAGCAAGTTTAATACAAACAAGAGGAAGTACTTTTTCACACAATGCATAATTAATCTGTGGAACTCATTGCCATGGATATTGTGATGGCCAAAAGTATAACTGGGTCCAAAAAACAACTAGATAAGTTCACGGAGGATACGTCCCTCAATGGCTATTAGCCAAGATGGTCAGAGATGCAGCCCCATGCTCAAAGCAACCCTAAACCACTGATTGCAAGAAGCCAGGAGAGGATCACTCCAAAACTGCCCTGTTCTGTACACATTTCGTTTGGCCCAAAAGAGTCCCAGCCCAGGAATACAGAAGAACTCCCTCTCAAGAGACAGGGAGTTGTAGTTGCTCAGACGAACCAGACTGAGACAACAGAAGCTTGCTGACCTAGACAAACACAGGCAACTTGAACAGAAAAGGAGAGTATGTCATACCCATGGGACCCAGGAATAAGGACATAATGGTGTGTCTTATCAGGGTCCAGCAGACAACCAGATGTGAGTATGATGGTCCCCATCACTCTGCCTGAAGCGTGAGTCATTATGATGCTAAAGGTTATTCTGGGATTCTGGCTGTGGGAATGTGGGAAGTTTTTCCTTGATGTGTTGTTTTCTGTAATGATGTAACAGAGTTGAGCCCGAGGGGTCAGGCACAAGCTCACCACAGCCAGCGGGTAAATCCTCACCAGTGAAACTGAATCAGTGTTCAATGTGTCTGTCGCACATCTAAAAAGATACGGTGGACCGAGATCTGCTAGGACTGAGGGGACCCTGGCACAGCTAGGTAAATAGCTGTGGGCCAGCACCCCGCTGAAAGCAGGGAAAACGGATGAGTGGTGAGACTCTGGCACAGCTGGGAAAGCTGTGGGACAGTACTACATTGAGGGCAGGGAAACTGAAGCAGAGCTAGAAATGGTTGTAGCCCCAAAAACTGCTGGGTGCGGTAAGACATTGGCACAGCTGACGGTAGCGGTGGGTCAGAACTCTGCTGGGAGCAGGGCAGACTTAGGGTGGTAGGAGGTCTGGTTTCACACCTTCACTGGCCAAGGTGACCTGCATGGATGTGAAGCAACTGCTGGGGGCAGTACAAATGTTCAAAAGAGGAAAGATGCCCCCTAGTCTATGGGTTCAGGGGAACTTTGAACTGACACTTGTGAAGTCAATATCAGGGGGGAGGTGTGATATAGACGCTGATGGTGGTTCAGTACTCTGTGTTAGCAACTCCTGTCAGACCTGACATACTCAGTGTACCCCTACTCACTATTGTTATAATCTGTATCTAAAGGGTATCATGTAATAGGTCATTGGAAAACAAATTCACTGATCATTAATATTTTTGTGTGATGTTTATACAGACAATCCACAACAGATTATTCACACATGCTGAAGTTATAACTAAAATGTGTTTAAACCAGGCATGTCAAGGGGAATTGATGAACAGTATTTTTCCAGACAAAGGAATGTGGTTCCCCCCACTTAAATGTCTCCCACGTAAACTGAGCACAGTGTGATCCAAGACAAAGAAAAGCATATTTGCATGCCAGGCAAACAAAGCATCAAGAGAGCAAGTGGGGGAAAAGTGATCACTTAATCTCAACAAGGGAATGGAGACTGTACTCCCAAGAAGCCTCTCTGTCTTTTGAAGTAGGGTCAATGAACTTTGAGAGATACTTTTCAAAGCTTTTCTGATCTATAAAGAGAGGGTCAGAGAAGTTATCCTTCACCTGAGAAGACAAGGAAAACCAGCACTGTGGACTAAGAAAGTCTGATCAACCATGCTGTAAAAGGGGCTTGGTGAGAAACACTTCTTTGAACAACAGACTTAAATCATATTTTAGTCTTAGAAACGTATTTTTACTTTTGTTTGCTTGTAACCCTTTCTATCTTTATTCCTTATACTTGGTATCACTTAAACCTATGACTGATGGTTTAATAAACTTATTTTACTTTCAACATAAACCAACATACTGCTATGATTGAAATAAGAGTGTTTGTTAAACCCCAGTTAAATTAATGCGTAGCAATGTGTTGTCTCTTTAAAGTAGCAATGAACTCAATGACTTCTGAGAATGTTTCAGGAGAGGGATGAACACTGCAGGGAGGCAGTTTTGGAGAAATTCAGGACTGGGATGCGTTGGTATCATGCTTCACATAGTAACTGGGCGGTGAAAGCCAGGGTGTCACATACATGCTTGTACGCTGGCTGTCAGTGTCTAAACTGTGAGCCACAGCTGCATACCATTTAAGGCCCCCAGAGTTGCAGGGCAGGTGGTGAGACAACCCCTTACTGGTCTAGGTTGAACCCCAAAAAATCACAGATGTGCCTTTAATGTTGCTGCTCTTTTCCTCTACTTAAAGAATAATCCTCAATGTGATTTCACAGTTAATAGCAGTGGAATAGATAGGAACACTCAACACAGGAAATAATTTTTTTAAGGAGAAAATAATTAGACAAAACAGAAGTTCTTGAAGACAAAGATCTTATTTCCATATAATTGTACAACTGCAAACAAAGGAAGAGAATTTCAAAAGTTATATAGAGCAGTAAGGTTTCAATATAGAAAGTTTTAAAAGTTTTTCATAAGGTGCCAAAAACAATTTAGATAAATGGGTTAAACTGTATTCAGAGAAGTGGCAACACAAGGATCTAATTGAAAAATAAGGCAGTATTTTATAATCTTAAGTGCAGTACCATCACAGCTAGTCACTGCCTCCAGTATGTGGAGCCACTAAACTGACTGTGCAATACATTTTTGAAAAAAGCTTGTATTTTTGTAAAACTAGCCATTCCTGTATTTAATTTAAAACTATCTCACAGTAACAGCTAAGAGAGGTGGGAAAAGACTAGTGTCATCTAAAGCTTCATTTTAATAAAGCCTTAGCCAGGCCACTAACAGATCCCTTGAACTGCTGCTCCTCTAGGATGCATGTTCTCAGCCTTCTCTTATTTCTGTTTCCCAGAAGAAGGCTAGTTTGAGAAAAGCTACTTGGTGTATATTTTATGACAGTCAATAATTCTTTATAAATTCTGACAGCCACTGACCTTCAAATCTTTCAAATACAGAAGTATATAAAATGTAATCTTGGGTTCCTTTTATGCATTATTTTATTATGTTAAAAACTGTGGTATGCTTATTCTAAAAGAACTATTCATAAGCAGGTGACAGTTCGTAGTACTTAAAAATGTTTAAACTGTGTTTCAACAAAATATAACAGTTAAAATGTTAAATATACCTTGGGTAATCTTCTGAGGTTATGTAAACTACATCTTGATCTGACACAGATGAGGAAAATGGAATAAAAATTCCATTTTGTAATGAGAGAAGCTCCAATCCAATAAGGTCACTGTAGACTCCATCAGTAAGCACGAATTCCAAGAGATGAAGCTTTTCATCAGCAGGGCCAGTGTGTCCAGATTTTCTCAACACCTGCCGCACTACAGCAGGAGTCACTTTTTTCACAGTTTTAGAGCTAGATACAGTAAGATGAACTGCACTAGCAATATTTGCTGGTACCTTAGCAATCTGGTTCCCTGAGCTCTGGAGGTAGTTGAGGACAGTTTGTGTGTACTCCAAGCTGTCATCCATGTCTGAGAAGCACACTTGCTCCACCTTTATCCAGTCACTACTAGCAGAATAAATAACTGCATTCTGGAGCAACTCTTTAAACAGAGGTTCTATGATTGGTTTCCAGTGTACCCTGATTTTGTTCTTTTCAGGCCATAGTCCATAAATTCTTTCAGCTGACAAAGGAAAATCTGAGTTCTTCTCAGTCTCCATTCGCTTGATAGCCTCCAAAATGAGAGTGGCATATGCTTTTGGGACAACATTCACTACAAGGAGGTCATTCCATAAAGCTGCTGGATCTCGCCACTGATCCAACTCTCGCCATTTGATACTCCTCCTATTGTCAGTCAAGCCAAAGAAACCACTAACATGAACTGGGAGACCAGTCTTGCTTTCCTCACCAGGAGGTAAAGGAAGAAAACAAAATGCTCTTCCTGAAAACTCTGCTACAGCTCCTTTTTCTTCCCCATTACTTGATAAAGACATAGCTATTCCAATAGTAGGGACAAACTTCAAGTCATCAGCCAAACAATCTAGTTCATTGCATATTCCTCGACCTCCCACACTGTTACATACTAACCAAGATGTTTTTTGTGCATCCTTCACACTCTCATCTTCTAAGACTATATTTACGTGATATGTCACACATGTTACGCTGTTGCTTGGAACCCCTTTACAATATTGACTTATTGCAGTTCCTAGAATCTTGATGGAATTGGGTCGTTCATGTTTCAAGGCCTTGTTCTCACTAGCAGTTACTCTAAAAACCAGTCTCTCAATTCCATCAGCCTCCCTAACATGTAAGGAAACATCTTGCACACTTTTCAGGAACAGCAGCACTGTATCTGCATCTGTTCGAAAGGATTCAAACAGTTCCAGAACTTTTTGTTTGTTGTACAGATTGCTACTCAGTTGGGAAGGCTGTAGACGAAGAGGGAAACGAAAAAATGTACCAGGAAAGTTTCCATTCTTGAAGGTTTCCTTAGTGCTACCAAATACACCAATGAATGGTGCAAACTGGTCTGTAAATTCAATAATTTCTTTGCTGTCATCCTTTAGGTTCCAACACTGGCCTGATTCATGGGGTCCAAAAAGTGTTTGATGGGGATCCAACATTCCAATCTGGTCACCACTGAAGATACTAGGGACATCTGCACAAGTGAAATCCAACAAATATGAATAACCCCAAATAACAGATCTGAATAACCCTAAAATATTCTACATTATCCATACCTTAAACAGCTTTAGCCATTACAATCAATTAAATTGTCATTTAAAAATTATAAATTGCCCTTATTTATCAAAAACCCAATCCTACTAATGGACGACGATCCATATTCTAGTAGAGAAAATACTATATAATAATATCTTACGATGTACAGGATCCATTTATGGAAGGCATAACAGAGATAAATTACATAGGGCAAAACTTTATTTGATCAAAGATTTGACACGCTAGTCTCAGAAACGAAATACTACCTAGATATCGAACACCAGTTGTCTATACTTGCCTTTCTTTTGCCATGCCATCTTCAAATTATAATAATCCAGTATTATATTGATATGTAATCCATCAGAATGAAAAACTACTAATCTTTCCATGTGGCATAACCACAACAGAATACAAGTAAATGTATTGAATGCAACATTTTTAGGGGTGCAAGTCAAAAAATGTACACATTTTTAAGAGGAGAAGGCAGAGATCTGTATCCAGATTTCTATACAGAGCATATTAATTCAATGCACATATATGAATGAAAGAAAGGACTATCAAATGAAATGGTAAAACAATTTTACAAAATTTATTTTGCAGAAATAAAAGATCCAAATGAAAAAAAGATGCCTGTAGTTAAGTGCTACCAGCTTGTGGAAGAGCACATTATGACTCATTAGCAGTATATTAGGGTATTTTTTGTTTTATACAATCAATGTGAACATCCTCCTGTTAAATAGCAAATTGTATGTGATGGTTATACGATCGAAAAGTACTTTTTTTGGTATGAGACAAAATTAGCATTGTTTATTGATCTCTATTTCACATTTATATACAAGCAGGACAAAAATCAAACTGCACAAAACTTCAGTCTTCGCTTATTGTATCTTATTTAAATTTAGAGAAGTCTGTTAAACATCCATCCTGTGCTCTGGGCATCAGTTATATAAACTAAAAATGCACAATTCAAATAATACAACATAGAGGATTGTTCACCCCACATTGACAAAACCAGCAAAATATAGTGTCAATAATAAAATAAACCCCTCCAATTCTCAGCCTACACTCCCTCTAAAAGCCTGGAAAAAATACGGACTTTATAGCATGCCCAGAAGATTAAAAAAAGATGGGCTGTGATGGACCATGGGTAGATGGAATGCATTCCAATGTCAAGGACCTTATCCAGAGAACACCCTGCCAGCATCCTTATGTTTGATGTGTATATGAGACTAAACAAATCTTAATGTTAATATTTTTATTTTTAAAGGCGCTACACACAGTACCTGTTATATGATATACTGAATTGAACCCAATTCCAAATCTTCCAACTTTCAGGGGATCATCTTTTTTCTTGCTTCTTGCTATTTCCTGTATGCCATGCCAGTCCTCAAGGGTAAAAACTGCATTGTTGTATACATAAAGTGCTGGCCCTAAAAAATAAATAGGCACACGTATGGCAATTCAAAAATAGCACACTTGGGTCCACCTGTTTAGTTTCCAGGAAGTAAACTTACTAAATCAAGAAAGCATTTTTGAAAGGTAACTACAGATGTGCAAATTAAATGAGGAAGCTGTAACTCAAACTGGTATTGGAGAAATGAAACTAAGATCTGTTGGGAAAGTCCAAAGAGATAAAGAGGAACTTCTGCAAAATAAAAACGGTAAACAACATATTTTCTTCTCTTTCTCTTCAGAGACACAAGTCCATCAACTGAATTGTTCGATTATTTTAGATTCCATGAAATTTTTAACACACACCATATAATTTTGGTTTACTACCTACCATTTTCTGTCATACAAGATAAACGAAGGTCATGTTGAGAAAGAGCTTCAGGAAACTTCAGGAAAGCAGTGACCATGGGGGTTATACAAGAATCCTCTTATAACACTGAATGTTCTGAACCTAGATTATAAAAGAGCTGTGCGGCCCCAAACACTTCAGTTCCTTCAATAATTCTGAGAATCCTATTGGAGTAGAACAAAACACAAAATCGGTGCTGATAAAATTTGCACATGACACAAAGATTGGCAGAGTGGTAAATAATGATGAGGAAAGGACAGCCATATAGAGTGATCTGGATCATTTGATAAGATGAGTCCATGTGAACAAAATACATTTTAATATAGCCAAACACAAGGGCATACATCTAGGAACAAAGACTGTAGACCATATGTACAGAATGGGGGAATGCATCCTGAAAAGGATTTAGTTGTCACAGTGGACAAACAACTCAACATGAATCCCAGTATGATACTGTGGCAAAAAGAGGTAATGCAATTCTTGGATGTACAAAAGGGAAGTAATGACCAAGAGTAGGGAGGTGAATTTACTTCTGTATATGGCACTGGTGGGATCAATACTGGAATATCACATGGAGTTCTGGAGTCCACATTTTAAAAGCGATGTTGAAAAACCGAAGAAGGTATAGAAAAGAGCAAGAAAAAGAATTGGAGGACTGGAAAATTGTTAAAGGAGTTCCATCTGTTTAGCTTATCAAAAGAAATTTGAGAGATGACTTGATTATTGTGGGTAAGTACCTTCACAGGGAGGAGATTAAAGAATCCTTTAGTACACAATCTATCAGAGAAAGCCAGAACAAGAGCCTACTGACTGAAAGTTAAAGCCAGCCAAATTTAAATTAGACATAATTTTTTATCAGTGAGGGTGATTAACCACTGGAATAAGCCGTCAATGGAAGTGGTGGATTCTCTAGCACTTGAATTCTTCAAATCAAGACTGGATTTCTTTCTGGAAAATATGCTTTAGTCAAACAAGTTACTAGGCTCAATACAGGAGTAACTGGATGAAATTCTCTAGCCTGTGTTATAAAGGAAATCAGACTAGAGGATCTAATGGTCCCTTCTTAGCCTTAAAATCTATGAGCCCCAAGGAAGAAGAGAAAATGGACAGGTAGTCTGAAACACACAAAAGCAACGCTCTCAAAAATTATATTAGTGGTAAGCAACCATCGCTAGTAAAGTTGCCTCTATCCATTCACACTTACAGGATTTGGCATCTCTAGCCAAACTGTGGAACCATATAGAAAAGCTGTGTCAGTTGCGGGAGTGCAATAGCACTCTCATGCTATGATCTCATCAGCCCCCTTCTACATAGATTCCAAGGCCAGAAGGGACCACTGTGATCACCTAGTTAACCACACCTATATATCACAGGCTACAGAACTTTCCTGAATTAATTCCTGATTGAACTAGAGTACATCTTTTAGAAAAAAAATCCAGTCTTGATTTTAAAAATTGTGGTGGAGAATCCACCACAACTCGAGGTAAACTGTTCCAATGGCTAATTTCCTTTTAATATAAGAGAACATGCCCCCCAGCCCACCCCAGTTCCTCCTCTCAAACCCACACAGTCCTGAAATACAAAGAATTCCAAGGCAGAGGGAAGGCAGGTGGGTAATGTCAAATGCACCGAGACAACTCTCAAAGAACAACAATTACTAGCAAGTAATCCCTCTTTCTTTGAGGGCCTCTGTGCATTCTCACTTATGGGAGATAAGCAAGTAGTGTGCCCCATTACAGGACAGCGGATGAGGAGTTCTAGTCTAAAATGAATTCTAGCGCTACTCTGCCACACTGAGCATCAGATCAGATTTCAAGTCCCATGAATAGTGCTTAGGAAAAAAACTCCATGTTACTGCTTTGCAAATCTCTACAATGGTGACCTGTCCCAAACAAGATACAGAGGTAGCTGAAGGTGTAGAGGAGTGCATCTATAACCCAGATATAATGGTTTTCTGGCTAAAGAATAACAATGTTCAATATACTTCCTTATCCATTATGAAAGTCTGTTTACCTCTAAACTGGACCTTACACCTTTCCCTGTAGGCAACAGTCTGTTAGATTTTCTAAAGGGCTTCATCCTGTCCAGGCAAAAGAGTGTAAACAGATCTCTTGTGGATGGGCATGAGGTCTGGGGAAGAAAACGGGGAGGAAGACATACTGTGACAGATGAATTTCTGAGGCATAAAGCTGGAATAGGTGGAGAGGTCATGAAGGCAACGAGTTCACTAACCCTTTCAAGCAGAGGTAATTGACATTACAAATGCTGTTCTAAGGAAGCTCAAGACGGGAACTCATAGAGTAGGTCCATTAACATTGTTAAAAGCAGGTTCAAGCTGCAGTCTGAAAAAGGACCTCTAGCAATGGGAAACACATTAGTCATTCCCTTGAGAAACAAAGAAGCAGAGGAATATGTTTTTCTCCCAATAGCATCCACTTTATGCCATTCTCTACCCAAGAGAACAGCCATGGACACCCTGCTACTGTTGGGGAGTTTCTAGGCTTCACAGACTAGTATGGAATCAGCCGAGGGGTATTACATTAAAAAGTGATAACCCTCCAAGGACACAAGATACATATGTATCTCTCTGGTACTGGTGGGGACAACACTGAAAAGCGTCAAATATCTTTTGTTTGACTGAGTAAACCTGGGAATAAAGGAAAACAACCTTGCCCTTTGCCTACCATTCCATAATGTTGAAAAGGACACAAGGTGTTTCTGGTGCTAAAACCCCAGTCAGTAACTGCAGGATATTAGCCATTCTCCCCATGTGCTCCTGGCATTTTCTTTTTCATTGGGCGGGAGACTAAAGAAGACCCAATTTGCTCTTCAGGGAACATACCATCAGTATATTCTTCAATGGCAGACTGCTCCATCTCTTCTGAAATAAGCCTCCTCCCAACTGTCCTTTTGGAGCCAGGCTCATACCAGGCACTTTTGCCTTCAAGACCACCTGATGCCAATATCATCACTGACGCCAATGTTGGTGCCAAAGTATTTATGGTGGTATCAAGCAAAACTTGCATAGATTCCTGAATGTAAGGCCACATTAACAACTGAAGAGGTCCTACATAAGGTCCATCCAGGAGAGCAGAATTAACAGTGAGGGAAATTGATTAGGCGCCCTCTAGCAAATTGGAGGAGTCTGCACAGTCTGTTCCCAGATAACCACATACTCCTCAAGGATGTTCTGTACTGACACCAAGGATAAAAACTGCTGCGCAGAGCCAAGCAGCAGAGGTGTAGTCAAACACTTTGCCAGAGAACCCCCTGATATGACAGGGGAAATCAACAGCACTGGAGATATGTGCTGTATCAGTGAGATGTCCAATTTAATTGGCACTGGAGCCTCAAGCTGAGGAAAACAGCAGGTCAAAGACAGTGTCAGGACTAGTAAGGAGTCTCCAAAAATGACATGCATTGTTGTAGGAAAACAATGCCTCCTTTTCTTTTTCTCCTTGAACACTTTTTGTGGATCTGGGTGCTTCCTCTTCATTTTTCTTATTCCTGAAACATGGACATGAGAGGATCCTGAAGCCTGACTCTTGCTGGCGTCAATCAGGGCCTATTCCTGGGACACCAAAGGCGTCTTTGATGTCGACATCAGCACAGACATAGGCCTGGGTGCCGAAGCAATTTGTTTTGATGGAGCCAGGTGGAAGGCTCAGACACAGCAAGCAATTGCCTCAGGGAGGTCAATCTTGGGTCTGACATAGAATCATAGAATATCAGGGTTGGAAGGACCCCAGAAGGTCATCTAGTCCAACCCCCTGCTCGAAGCAGGACCAATTCCCAGTTAAATCATCCATGCAGGATGACTGACTGCAGTGGCAGGATGCATCTCCAGACTTTTGACAGAACAAGTCAGCAAAGAAGCAGACCTGGAAATCCCTGAAGGAATTGTAGGATGGTTCAGCGGGAGGCTCAAAAAAGCCAACTACGCCAGCAATCTCAGCTGCCTGTCCTCCCTTGTCCATGGCAAATTGTGTGCTGGGACACTACATAAGCTTCTCCCAGGTACATGAGCACTGAACATGGACATCTGGAAGATGAAGGAGCAGGATGCGTTATGAAGCTCAGGACCTGATACAGCCTCAAGGATAACCTGAGGTAAGCAGCCCCCAACAACACTAATTAACTATATTATGATATTTTAACTATAAACTAAGAAAATACAAGAAGGAAGGCTATCTATAACTAGCTTGTGGATATAAGAGTAGTTCCTTTAGATACTTGCAGCAGGGGTGAAAGAACCAAGATGGGTGAAAGGCTGCACTCTGTTATATAAATAGCATGAGAGCACTACTGCACCCCACCAGGGCACGTGGCTTTTCTATACAGTTCTGCAGCGCAACACTAGATGCATCAAATCCCAAAAGTGGAAATGCAGTGGGGCTCCTCAGAGAAGACTTTTTTCTTCTTCAAGATAGCCTCTATATATTCCTATTTGCAAGATTACAGCGAGTACTACAATCCCCAGGAAAGGGAGCTGACTTGTTTTTAAACAAGGACACTAGAACTGCTTTCTGAGAATGAGATATAGATACCAAATGGAGAAAATGGTGCTACATAAATATACGAACCGCCCTCTAGGGTTCCTAAGTTGAAAACATTACAGAGGCACAGCATTTATATCATTTTAGAACTCTGCACAAGACATAGAACCTGTGCTAATACGCAACCTTCACAATATTCCAAAATAAGCCCCTTTTCAAGTATTTTCAACCTAGCTAATGTATAACATCCCAATGCTCAGACTAATCCACTTAAAGAGCCACTGTATGGAAATTGCATGCCCTTTAAAACAATCCTCAAAGCTTAAAAAGTCTAAGTAATTTACTAAGTGAACTAGCGCTATCTAAATAAAAACAAAAAACACTTTCGACTTCTAAGGTATGGAATCTAGCTTCCCCCGGGTAAGAATGAGACTTCAGGAAGAATACTAGGAGATTAATGACCTGAGGGAACTTAGGTAGTTTGGGCAGCTCTTTTATAACCTCAGCTCCAATTGTTCAGTCATGAGAGGGTGTTCATGTGCCCCAAACATGAACAGGTCTTCAGAAAGTTCTCAGATCTGTGATGCCAGTAGGCACATCCCAAGAACAAGAATATACAAATGCTAGCTCAGAGTAACAGTAAAATTTACCTCAGCCATTTTGTCAGATCTCAGTGAGACTTCTTAGACCCAACCTGCAAGTTATTCTCAGATTCCAACTTGAAATCTATGAAGCACTATTGTCTTATTATTGTTTGTATTCTAGGAGCATTTAAAGACATTGGTTGAGGCCCCATAGTATTAGGAACTGTCCAAAAATAGAAGGCCCTTCCCTAAACTGTGTACAGTCTAAAAGGCAAGAAAAACAGATATATACAAACAAATATGCAATATGGCAAAAGTTAAAGTACAATTCCCCAAACCTGTCATTCATATAACACTGCTACTCTAGTCCTATCTTTTGTTCACCCACCAGTCAAACTCCTTCACAGATCTCTCTTTTTTTTTTAAACCAACCTCAAGTGCCCTCCTCTGACCTAGCCCATAGAAAAACACTAGGCCTCATTCTGGTTGAAGGAATTAAAAAAAAAGAAGAAAAAGAAACACCGACTGTCAGAAGTATATCACCACTAACTTGAGACATGAGTACAAAAGAATTTCACATTGCAGTTAAGTATTTATCTGAGGAACTGCAAAGAATCACACTTGTTGCAGTTTCAGTAGAGGCAGCTTTTATATTTAACTAAAAATTCTTTAAAGGACTGTCCCTCCCCCCCACCTCTTTTTTTTACTAGCATTTCCTGGATTTCATTAAGAGTGTGGTCATTTTCAACCCAGTGCCTCCTACTACCATGCTGGGGTACTGGGAAAGTAAAACCAATGATTTACCAACACTATCACTTCTTTCCACACCTTGGGATTTTCCCTAAATGACTCCCAACCAAATACTTATCACTAACTCTACCAGAGGTACCTAAGCCTAAAACACTAAGATTGTAGATTACTGGTAGGCTTAATTTGTGTATGCAGATTGGTTATTGGCCCACTTAACTATTGGATTTGTGAAAAGCATCTGCTATATACAAATTTGAATAGTTGTTCATAAGGGTCAAATTCTGCCCTTGAGTGCATGGATTCAATTAGTGCATAATTGAAATAAATGGGCATAAATGGCAGACTACTGAACCACTGGGACTCACACACCACATATTGGAGAACATGAACTAAAAATTATATACTTACCCTGGTATTGTGCCATGTCCTTCGACCAGAGAGATTCTGTTCCATATTGAGTCTCATCATACAAAAACCTAACCTCTGTGGCACCAGCATCTTCTGCATTCTGGATCAGTTCCTGAGAGCAAAATAACCTCCAAGTTATTACAGTAATTTTATGCCTAACCCTAACTTTAATATTATACTTATGGCTTCCAAACTTGAATGTAGAAAATAATTATAGGTCATTGTCTAAAAAATGTTTCAATACATTTTCAACAAGTGTGATTTTCTCCAATTCGCTTAAATTAAAATAGGCATTTCTCCATTTTATTTTAGAGGGTAACTATCATACTCAAACACAATTTTAAAAATGTCAAATTATAAATTTTAACCTTATTAAACTATCACAAATTGGATTAAAACAGCGGTCTAGCAGTAACACAACATATGAAGAAGGGAATAAGATCACACAGTAACTTTCAGACTGGAATCAAACAAGAAGCAATGCAGGGGCATTGTGTTGAGCTCTGGGTTGGGGGATGTCGGAGGTATTGAGTCCCATGTATTATTTTGCAGCAGCCCCTCTCTCCAACTCTGCTGAGAGCAGCAACTACTGTCTTTGAAGGGAGCAGTATCCACCTCATTTTCAACATATGAGCAATCATAATAATTGAGGGATGAAGGAGGTAAGGAAAGAATATAAAAAGGGGGTGATCCCTAGGACTCTGAGGCACCTCCTTTCCCTAGACCTGCACCACCACCCAAACATGAGTAATGTAATTTTTATTTTTCTATATTGAATTTCTACAATATGTGATTAGGACTATGTTTTTATTTACATACTTGATTTTTCATAATTCCAGGATAATATGGAAGTGACAATTAGCTGCAGTACTGTTAAATTACTCAGAGCAGAAGGCTTACCATAAAGGACAATAAAGTCAAAAGAGCTTCAGTAATAGAAATAGACAGAAAAATTCTAACAGTGTGAGTATCAGTATATTAAGACCTAATCCTGCAAACACTCATGTACATGCTTAAATTTGGAGGGACTACACATAGTAGTAGAGCTTAGCACACATGTAAGTGTTTGAAGTGTGTGGTTTTTGGAGGGGAGTGAGGGAGTGAGAGAACCTGGATTTGTGCAGGAAATGGCCCACCTTGATTATCACACACATTGTGAAGAGAGTGGTCACTTTGGATGGGCTATTACCAGCAGGAGAGTGAGTTTGTGTGGGGGGGGGGGCGGAGGGTGAGAAAACCTGGATTTGTGCTGGAAATAGCCCAACTTGATGATCACTTTAGATAAGCTATTACCAGCAGTACAGTGGGGTGGGAGGAGGTATTGTTTCATGGTCTCTGTGTGTATATAATGTCTTCTGCAGTTTCCACGGTATGCATCCGATGAAGTGAGCTGTAGCTCACGAAAGCTCATGCTCAAATAAATTGGTTAGTCTCTAAGGTGCCACAAGTACTCCTTTTCTTTTTGTGAATACACACTAACACGGCTGTTACTCTAGATCCTACAATGATCTTTCTGGTGGCTCTCCTCTAAATACTTCAAACATGAAGTGTGTGGATCACTTCTAGGCATACACTTGCAGCAGACCTTGCAGGTTTTGAAACCTTGAGATTGCAGCATGTCCCAGTGCCGGGAGAGCGATGGAGGGGGAACCACACAAAGAAAACTTAAGAACTAACTCTAATTTATCTAAACTAACACAAAACTAACTACTTGTAAGAAATATATATACAGACACTGCCAAAGCACTTGTCAAGACAAGAACAAGGGACGTTCCAGCTAGCTGTCACTGGCGGTAAGAAGGAACTGAGGGGGTGGCAGGTTGGCAGGGCCCTATATTGAGTGCCATGAAGATGCGACTCTAGGGGGCACCCAGGCCCACTGAATGGATATTGCTAGGGGAAAAATCTTCCAGCTGCCGTACACGTGCACACTCACACACCTGACTGGAATTGACATGAAGAAGCACTTGAAGAAGAAACCATGTTTGCCATAGTCTTGAAGGAAGTTAGATATTAGACAATCTCTCTACTTTTCATTCTAACAACCCATCAGTTCCACATATGTGCAAATGGCAAACTTAAATAAAAACAGCATAGACTACTTCTTATTAATGTCAACACTACAATAAGTGCATGCTAAAAGATCGTCAGAGAGATGGAGAAGAAAGAGAAATAATCACAGTTCAACAAATAGTAATGTATCAACAGAATCTCTGCATGTGGTGCTTAGTTGCTCTCATAATAATCATCATCAACAATGGTGCAAGAAGATACAGAGAGATCAAAGTTCCTACAAACATTACTACTATCATTATTAGAATAATAATGAGAGTATCTATTTGAATAGTTGCAGTCCACCATTCCTTCTGCGGCACTTCCCCAGAAACCACTACATTTTTTGGCTTGTTTCATTTCAATACTATGTATATAAAGAATTTCCAACACTTAAATCAAAATAAAAGCAGCACAGTTTCTGTCAATACTTCCTTAGCATTCTGCAAACTTCAAACAAATCAGCACACCCAGGGCAGCTCTAGAACTTCCTAACCTGGCTTCTGGGCAGCAAACCTTGCCTCTCTCCTACCATTGTGAGAACAGACAAAAACTTTCCAGACTTAACTCAGATCACAGGGACCTGAGAGCTTCAGTTTAGAGTATTCACAGCTGGGACTCTGATACTGGAATTTAACCGCTACCACAAAAAAAAAAAAAAGCCAGTGATTGGTTTGTTAGGGCCTCCTCCCAGAAGCACTACTGGGACACTGTGTGATACAGAAATGGAACACCTATACATCTTATCAATTGCTCTGATCAGTTCTTCCACAATTTAAGCTTTCACTTAACAGAAATAAATAAGTAAGTAAATAAATAAAAACATTTCTAGCCTTTATGGTTGCAAAGAAAACTTTCCAATGTGGTGATCTCTTATGAAGTCTGCAAAGTGGAAAAAAGCTCTAATACAGTTGTGAATTGCCCCATTCTTCTTAACAAGGTGGGAAATCTGAAACCTAGTGATGACAGTATAAGCAATAAAACTGTTGGTTGTTCCACTGCTAATCGTTTTATCTGACATATTCAAAAAGTCTGGTAATGTAGGCCAAAGTACTACAGTTCCCCCCCCTTTACTCTAACCCTTGGAGAGGTAGAAGCCTGCAGTCTCGAGAGCTGGCAATATGACAATACCTTTAATGAGCACTATTTTCATTTTTATACATCCAGGAACAACTATCCATATAACTTGTTAGTGTTACTCAATTCTTTACTAGAAATATTTTTCTGCTCTTATGGAATTGATGGACTCATTATTAATTGTATTGCTCCAAAACTGTGCTGGCTGTTTTACAGAAAAATACAAATACAGACAAGATCCCTGCTCTGAAGTGCTTAAAAGTACTTATAATCTAGACAATGTTACTTTATAGTACTGTCACGATACATTAAAGAGAGAGACAGATGGTTAAATAGGAGGAGATGGTTTAGGCAATCAGAGAATATCACAGATTTCAGAATAAAAATTAATGTAATAAATCTTCCAAATTATATCAATACTATGGAGAGGTGAAACAAGCAATTTTTTTGAATTACTCAGATACAGTATTCAAGAAAAACAATGTCACTTAAAATAAGTTCTATTCATATTACTATTTTATTTGTTGCAACATGCAATGGTAAAGAATATTTATGTAACAAGCAAATTTTAAAGGTTCAATTGGCCTCCCCCCATAAAATGCATTGTGATGCTTTTTGTTTCAGTAATCAACATGAAATAATTATGAAGTGAAGTATCCAATAAAAATCAATTGTTTCTGTCCATGTTCTTTACAAAATACACAGTTCTTTTGTGATGGGCAAAAAGAATAGGCCATAAACTAAAAAACAAGCAACTCACCTGACACTGCCCCCAAGATGGAAAATTCTGGAAAGATGTATGTACTTATATCAGAATAAACATCTCATGAAGTGAAACAATCTACAACATATTGAACAACATTTTAAACAACACTAATCTGTGGTGTATATTTACTTAACAATAATAAGTACAATTTATTTTATACCTTAAGAATTTGTCCTCCTTCTGGATATCTTCTTAAAATGTCTTTAAGAAAATCAACAAGCGGTGGAGTTGTTTGACCAAAACGGCCTAAAAACATAAAAAGAAAAAGCAATTGGTTATTCTGTTACTGGATTTTATTTTAGATTTATACTGTACTCATCATGTGATTACTGGGTTGCACAAAATTCTTTTTTAAAATTCACTCAGTCCAGGTGCCAATACCATAAAAGGCTCCCACCACACAAATAAACCATATGTATATGGCACAGTTAACCCTCTTAGACAAAAGTACATGCTGGAAACTTCCGGCTGGAAGACTTCCTCTTCCATTGCATGACATTCGGGGCTGGGTCAGACCCACGCCCAGATTTCTCCCCCAGCTGCAGGAAGCTCTGCAAACTCACCCTCCCCGCCACTTCCTGCACCCATTACTCCTCAGCTGCAGGGGGGATCCCTATACAGGGAGCTGCTCCCCCATCCACCCAACCCCGGTGCATCCAGATCCCCTCATGTCCAGACCCTCCCACGAGCTTCACCCTCCTGCACTCAGAACCCCGCGATGAGCCCGATCCCCACCCCACTGAGCCCCAGTCTCCCAGCATCTGGACCCCCACTGAGTCCCCCACACCCAGACCCTCCCCTGCTGAGCCCCAACCACTTTCACCTGGACCCTCCTGCAGAGTCCCATTATCGTTACACCCAGAACCCCCCCACAAAACCCTGTGCATCCAGATCCCCCCGCCACCTGGATATCCCATTGAGCCACCTGCACCCAGATTGCTCCACACAGAACCCTCTCAACCCACACCCGGATCCCCACACACTAAGCCCCTCCATACTTGGATTCTGCCTTGCTGAGCCTGCCTGCCTGATGCACCGGGCGCGGAGGGGCAGGGCCCTGGGGTGTTTCTGGGGCAGGCCCAGTCCTTGTGCTGTGTCAGGGCTGGGTGCAGCCTCACCACTGAGTCCATATCCTGTGGTGGGAACTGCACAGTGATCTTCCACCTCTATGCTGCCAGTGACCTGTACTCCCCAATGCCACGCTGGAGCCTCCACATTTATTTGACAAGTAAAATTTGCAGAATTATGCAGAATTTTTAATACTTTGGTGCAGAATGCCCTCAGGAGTAACGTGGAAGACACTAATTGCTGCCAGATTGACTCTCAAAGAACTGAGGGCGAGACCTGATGATTTAAATGACAAAACGTAGTCCAGGATGAGGAGGATCCCCCCAATTCTGGTAAAACTTCTTGTTGCTAAACCCAAGATGAGAAACATCTCTACTTGACTCAGTAACATTGCATAGTGGAGTCCTTCCTCCTGCTGGAGAGAATGTCTTGCACAGCCAAAGAGTATGTCCGTCCTAAAGCAGATGCCGATCCAAATACCATGCCCTGAAGTGGAGTGCATGTGGATTGGGATGCCTGATCTCGCCATTGTACTGGGTCAACAGATAGAGGAAGTTGAGGATGGGAATTGATGGGCAGGATGACATGCGGACGAGACTGGGAAATCAGAATTGTCTAGGCCAGTAGGGGGCAATCAGAATGACTGTCACTTTGCCTCATTGGATCTTTTGCTGCACTCGAGGCAGTAGCAGCAGGGCTGCAGGTTTGTATAATTTTTGGTGGTGCCCAGAATGGGTCCAAGTCTTGTCCCCCACCCATCCCCTGCCTAAGGCTCTGGGAGGAAGTTTGGGTGCAGGCTCTGGGAGAGAGTTTGGGTGTGAGAGGGGTGCAGACTCTGGGAGGGAGTTTGGGTGCTGGGTGCAGGCTCTGGGCTAGGATGGGGGTTGGGGTGCAGGAAGGGGTTTGGGTGCTGGGTGTGGGCTCAGGGCTGGGACAGAGGGTTGGGCTGCAGGAGGGGATGCAGGGCTGGGCCGGGGATCAGGACTTTGGAGTGCAGCAGGCAGGCTGCCCCGGGACTGGGGCGGAGGGCCAGAGAGGAGGACTCCCCCCAGCCCTGTCCCCGCCGGCAGCAGCAAGCTCTGGGGGAGGGGAGCAGGAGGTCCCCCCTGGCCCCCACAGCACGACACTCCCCAAGGTCCCTCACGCTGCTGCTTAGGTGGTCCAGCCAGGATAAGCCTCCTAAAGTCAACCCAGAGTCGCCTGCCAGGGGGCAGGGGCTGCTATGCGCCTCCTCCGGTGCAGAAGCTGCCTAAGCTTGCCCCCGGCACCGCTCCCTTGTAGCCAGCGAGGGAGCGCAGCGTGGAGCTGCATGCAGCAGCCGCCCACTGAACAGGGCAGGCAGGGATGCTATGGGAGAGGCGTGGCGGTGGCAGGCAGGGCCGGGGGACACTCGGGGGAGGGGGCACGCGGGGGTAGCAGCTGGGGCAGCTTGGGGGAGGCGTGGGGCTGGCAGGCAGAGCCAGGGGAGAGTCCCGGCCCCGAACATTGGTGGAGCCGGGCCCCCTGGGCCCTGAATTTGCTGAAGCCCGGGACCACGGGCCCATACAACTCGCCGCCCCTGAGTAGCAGTAGTGGAGGGAAGGTGTAGGTGAATTTGACTGACCAGGAGAGTAGGAGACGGTTGATCTGAGAGCGGTGGCCAAGGACTTCCCTGAAGCAAAATGCAGTGCATTTGCTGTTCATCTGTGAAGCGAATAGGCCTCTGCTCAGGGTCTCTAATCAGGTGAAGATGTCATGTACTACTGAATCATGAAGTTCCCACTCCTGGTTAATCACTAAGTGAGTCCACAAGTACATTATTTGTTCCAGGAATATAGGCTGCAGACAAAAGGATCTGGTGATTGATGCACCAATTCCAGAGATTTACCGCCTCTGCACATAGAGTGGCCGATCTCGTTTCCCCCATTTGTTGATATAGAAAACGGTGGTGGTGGTGTCTGACATGATGTGAGCAAGATGGGAGCGAATGACCAAAAGAAAAGATTGGCATGCCTTTTTTACAGCTTGGAGTTCCAGGATATTTATGTGCATCCTGGATTCTTGAGGAGTCCATATTCCCTTTGTCATGTGGTCATCCATGTGGGCTCCACAGCCTACCATGGATGCATCACTGATGATCGTCTTGTCTGGGGAGGACCGAAGAAAGGGCATATATGATGTGGGTCTGTCCACCACTGGAGGAATGACAGTACCTTGGCGGGGACTGTCAGCATGAAGTCCATGGAGTGATGGTTTCGTGAGCAAAAGGACTGGAGCCGTGTCTGAAGGCAGCAGAGATGGAATCACACAAAGGGGGCCGCGTAGGTACACAAAGCCACGTGACCAAGGAGAGACAGGCAAGTCCTGGCCAGTACATAAGGATTGCTCACAATGTGAGTTACGATGCTGTTCAGTGTCTGGAATCAGTCCATAGGCAAGTAAGCTTGCGCTGAGACCTAGTTCATGGTAGCTCCAGTGAAGTCCAGAGATTGCGTGGGGTCAAGGATTGATTTCTCAACATTGACACTGACTCCAAGGGAAGGAAGGAGGCTGGGTAACACACAGGTTGATGTGTGGGCTTCTTAGAATCATAGGACTGGAATGGACCTTGAGAGGTCATCTAGTCCAGTTCCCTGCACTCATGGCAGGACTAAGTATTATCTAGACCATTCCTGACAGGTGTTTGTCTAACCTGCTCTTAAAAATCTCCAATGATGAAGATTCCACAACACCCCTAGGCAATTTATTCCAGTGATTAACCACCCTGACAGTTAGGAAGTTTTTCCTCACTGCCTTTGCTGCAATTTAAGCCCATTGCTTCTTGTCCTATCACCAGAGGTTAAGAAAAACAATTTTTCTCCATCCTCCTTGTAACAACCTTTTACGTACTTGAAAACTGTTATGTCCCCCCTCAGTCTTCTCTTTTCCAGACTAAACAAACCCAATTTTTTCAATCTTCCCTCATAGTTCATGTTTTCTAGACCTTTACTCATTTTTGTTGCTCTTCTCTGGACTCTCTCCAATTTGTCCACATCCTTCCTGAAATGTGGCGCCCAAAACTGGACACAATACCCCAGCTGAGGCCTAATCAGCACAGAGGGAAGAATTATTTCTCATGTCTTGCTTACAACACTCCTGCTAATACATCCCAGAATGATGTTTGCTTTTTTAGCAACAGCGTTACGCTGTTGACTCATATTTAGCTTGTGGTCCACTATGACCCCCAGATCACTTTCCGCAATACTCTCTCCTAGGCAGTCATTTCCTGTTTTGTATGTGTGCAACTGATTTTTCCTTCCTAAATGGAGTACTTTGCATTTGTCCTTATTGAATTACTTCAGACCATTTCTCCAGTTTGTCCAGATCATTTTGTATTTTAATCCTATCCTCCAAAGCACTTGCAACCCCTCCCAGCTTGGTATCATCCACAAACTTGCCTGGATCTGGCAGCTAGGAGTCAATTGTTGAGATATGGAAACATGAAGAGGCCATAACAACTGATGTGGGCTGCTACTTCTGCAAATACTTTGGTGAAGATTCTCGGAGTGGCAGCTATCCCAAAGGGGAGCACGCTGTATTGAAAATAGTGGGTGATCACTGTAAATCTGAGAAAATGTCTGTGGGCAGGATGAATATTGATGTGAAATTAAGTGTCCTTCATATCAAGAGCCGTAAAGCACATGCCCTTCTCTAAAGATGGAATTATCGCTTCCAGCGTGACCAGACAAAACTAAAGTATGTGGATGAAACGACTGAGGTGCCAAAGATTGGGGATTGATCTCCACTGGAAGGTGAGACCTGTGCTTCTTTTTATGTTTCCTTGACGGCTCATAAAGTCTCCGAGGATAGAACTGAAAAGACCTGTAGCGTTGGGTGGATGAGTGGCGGTGGAATTTTTGTTTCAGGGCGCAGTGTAGATGCCCAACAAGCGAAAAGTAGCCCTGGAGTCCTTTAGTGTGTGTAGTGATTCATCTGTTTTCTGGTTAAAAAGATGGGATTCGTTGAACAGGAGCTCCCTCTCAATGGTGTTCTGGGCCTCCCTAGGAAAACCAAAAGAATGGAGCCATGACTCTGTGCATGACTATCACTGTAGCCATGGCCCTGGAGGAGGTATCTGCTGCATCTACTGCAGACTGGAAGGTAGTTCTGGCCATGAGCTTCCCTTCATCAGCAAATGCCTGCAAACAAGCATGATCTTGTTGTGAAAAGGCTATCAGCAAACTCCTCAAATTTACTGTAATTCAGGCCATATCATAGTTAGCTAACAATGCCTGATAATTTGTGATCCTGGATTGCAGGCTAGAAGATGAGAATACTTTACGTCCTGGAAGATCTAGACACTTCCCTTCCTTATTGGATGGCATAGCTCAAGGGTGTTGTTGTTTGAATCTTTCTGCAGCAGCCTGGACTACCAGGCAATTTGGAGGTGGGTGGGAGAAGAGAAATTCAGAGCCTTTGGTCAGAACATAATAGTACTTCCCCGCTCCTTTGGGGGTAACCGTGCATGGGGCAGGGGTGCGCCATACAGTCGTGGCAGGCTCCAGTATGTCTCCATTAATTGGCAATGCTATTCTTGCCAGTCCCAAGATGTGAAGGCTACCCAGAAACTTGTGCTGTGAGTCTTGGATCTCCTCTAAAGGAATCTGGAGTTCCCCATGACTCTCCCTAACAGCTCCTGGAATTGCTTGAAGTCATCCGGTGGGGAAGGGGATGATGTAGCCACTGCCTTGTCTGGAAAGGAGGAAGGAAACCTTGCTAGTTCCAGTGGAATTGCTAGGATCAGACTAAAAAGGTTTTCCTCCACCATCAGATCTGTATGCCTGCTGGAAGGATCCCTCAAGGGGGAGGAATGTGATGGTTCCCTTGCAGATCAGGCAGGTTCTGAGTGGGGTATTATGTCCAGGGTCCCCAATATGGCCAGTAGGCTGGATACGACAGAGATTGTGGGGGTCCCCACAGCATGGGGTACCAGTGACTCTATGGTGACTGAGGCAGTAGGTGTTCCTATGCACATGGTGGCCTCCGCGATCGTGCATAAGAGTGGTATGATAAGGGTGGTTCTTCTCCCAGTTCTGACTCATGAGAAGAGGAGGAGGATTCCGATTCTAATGACGGTACTGTTGGAGCCAGTGGAAGAGTGTAGAACATTAGTGCAAAGGGTGAGGGACCCGGTATTGGAGGCATATCCCTTGGTGGTGATATAATCTCTCTAGAAGTGATGGGACCTGATGGAGGGGGTGATTCCGGATCTGGAAAGGCAAAGACCTCCTGGAGTGTGGTTCCAGGTCTCCCTGGTGTGAGAAGCACTCTCTCTTTCCCAGTCATTGGTTCTAGCGCTGGGATCTTTCCTGGTGCAGGAGGGTCTTGTGTCTTGTGGGGTGCCAGAGATGGCAGTACTGACAGATTGGTGCCTGGAACCGCAGGATCACATTGTTTATGGGTCTTTTTTGCATGCCTGTGGGACATAGAACATACTCTGTCCCCTTGGGCAGAGCTGCTGCAAGGAACATCCATCTTTTTGGATTGGAGGAAGACTTAGTAGTGCTTCTTCACCTCCTGACTAGTCCCTCCCATGGCGTTTGCAGGGGTGGTTCCACTGGACTAGAGTCAGATGTAGTAGTGGGAGGCATGATCCTCGCTGAATCAGGCAAATGTAGAGGAGGGTTCCCTGGCCTGGGTCCAAGTGTGGTCTCATGGCGAGCTCCATGAGCTGCTTCTGAAGGCGAAGTGCCCAGCCTTCTCAGGTGCGGCTGGGGAAGGATTGGCAAATACTGCACATTGTCACGATGTGAGCTTCTCCCAGGGAGCAGAGTCAGTATTGGTGGTCATCACGAGAAGAATGATGGGTAGGAAACACAGAGTTTGAAACCTGGAGCCCTGGGCACAACCCGGCACCTACACCTGGGTACGGGAAGGGGGGTGTGAACAGTGAAAACCACAAATCTATATAAAAACAAGTTGAAATTATTAACTATTAAAACTAAAAAAGAAAAATAAAACTAATAAATTACTATAAAACTCATTAAAACTACGTACAACTATCTTTTTTCAGATGTGCATAAGAGATGAGGACAAAGAGTTCGGATCCAGACCATGCAGCGGATAGAAGGAACTGAAGATGTGGTCTGTCCTCCCCGGCCTTTATCACCTCGGATGGAAGCACAAGGCAGGCCAGGGCGCATGCGCAGACCAAGGGATGCTACTTTCAAATTCTCTGAGTCTATGCGCATGGAATACAGTAAAATACAATAGAGACCATCACTCAAAGAAGAAAAATCAAGCCCTATATGTCTCAAACTGGAAACTAAATTAGTGGATATTTTTACCTTAATCTCTCTTGCCTCAGTTCCCATCTGTAAAATGGGGATAATATTACCACCACACCTCAAGGGATATTGTAAAAATAAATTCATTAATATTTGTGATTCTCCCAAATATTACAGTGACAAGCACCACAGAAAAGCCCATGAGGAAATTAATAATTCTGTCTTCAGAGCAGGGTCTGAATAGTGTGCAGTAAAAAAGCCATGGGGACAGACATTTATCAACAACGAGGAAAAAAAAATATTGAATATCTACTCTTTCAGTGAGCACCATCCATCATGTGCTCTGAGTAAGGCACAGGTCCTTTTGAAAAAAGTGCATAATCATGTAATTAAAGACTGTATCATAATACGTTTGCACAAGGGAGCAAATTAAGGTTACATTGACAACTTTAATTCTGACATATCCTAATTTTTTGTGTTTGACATTGCAACCTTAATAACGTTCTTTTAACAGTTTGTGCATAATATTATTTTGATTCATATATCAGAAAGAAGGGGAACCTATCCGAGGTTTAGGTCGGCACCTTTGCCAAAGATTACAAACAACAAACTCCCCATCTCCTTGCTCAGCTAACCCCATTAAAAACTCACCTCTACATCAGCCTGTGTCATTAGATGAACCTTGCAACATGATCTGAGGATCAATCTACCAAGGCTATTTCAAATCAAGGGGTGGAGTTCATTCCAAAGCTGGGGGCCCTTCATAGAGAACTCTGTATCACCAGCCCCCTCTCTCTTAAATTGAGAGGATCCAGCTCAAGTACCTCTGCTGATTGCAACTGCAGCACTGCTGCAGGAAGACAGAAAGAAATAGAGCATCTCCCGAGTAGAAAGGTCCCAGTCCACTGAAGTCAAGTTAAATTCCCCTTAAATTCAATGCAGAAAGCCACAGGCAGCCAGTGTATCTTATATAACAGAGTTGTCACTAAGAAGTGCCAGGCAGGTCACTGCATTCTGCAACACCTTAAATTTCTAGATTGACTGAAAATGTAGCTCCATATACAGAACAATACAACAATCCAGTCTTGAGATGATAAAGGTATGGATCACAGTAGCATGTGGCAATCTTATGGCCACATGCAGATGACAAAAATTATTTCTAGACACTGCTGCTATATGATCATCTAACAATAGCTGAAGATCCAGTGCTACCACCAGATTGAACATATCTTCAGTCAAGGACAGAGAAATTATTCTTATTATACATTCTGGCTACTTCCCCCAGCATCAGTTTTATTTGGATTAAGTTTCTGCCAGCTAGCTCTCATCTATGTCCCACAGCTCCCTAAAACTCTAGGTCAGACAATCAATAGCACTGTCAAAGTTGTTCAGAGAAAGAATAGAACAGAGTGTCATTAGCATACTGAAAGGCCACACATCCTCACAAAATCTCCTGATGACCTCATATACACACACACAACAGGAGGGAAGAAATGAGCAATTTCCACATGCCTTCTGGGAGCACTGGGACACAAGTAAGTAGAGGAAGAGGTGAAAAAACCTCACCAAAACCAACAGGCAATTTCTTACTATCCTCACACTCATCAGGACATCAAGTCAATCCTCATCCTTCTGCCACAGGGATGGAACCACCAATTAACAAATAAATCCCACAACGCCACACCGACCTCTCCTCCTTTTCAATAACAAATCACATCCTTCACCAAGGAACTCTTACCTTCAGAAGCCATTCACTTCCACACTTAAAAGACCCCAGCACCTCTCCACAAGTCTCGCACCCCAAGAGAGACAAATCCTATCCCCATTCTCCTGTCACAGGAATGGAAATACTGACTGAAACAGCCAGGGATCACCAGTACAAAAGAAAAAGAAAAGGAAAAACAAAACAAACCCTCCCAAATGAAGGTAAATTCCCACTCCTGGTACAGTTGCTATGCATGTGGATGTGATGGTTTCTCTAAAAAGAGACACTCTCCTCTCTTTTATTCCAAATGATCCACTCTACTGAATTGCAGGTTCTCCTTAGGTACAATCCCAGTAGTGAGAAAGTAAGAGTATATTGCTGTGATGTACAAGTAAAGAGAAAGCACCACTACTCGTGTAAGGAAAAGCACCCATTACTCAGAACTGTGCCAGGGCATTAATCAAAACTTTTCACAATCTCCCAACATATAAGTAAACAGACAACTGTTTATCTTACCTCCTCCTTTCAGGCCTTTTGACTGAAGGTTTAAGAAAATATGATTTTCAGAATTCAGACAGTCCCCAAACTTAGTACAATCAGATAACTGAAACAGAAAAAAAAATGGAAGATCTTGATGTACATTATCCAATAGCACTACTTTGCAATGGCTTTTCTCCAGACATCTTGAGAATGTTAAGTACTTTTTAGATATTAAAATTTAGAGACCAAGTCTCAACACACTGCTTCAATATTTAGTCTCTAAATACATCATTCTGATATCTTCAACTGTGCATGACATGAGAGTGCAATTTTTTTCTGTTACATACAGGACAAAATTCTGCCCTCAGTTACATGAATGCAACTTCATTTGACAGCAATGGGAGCTATACCCATTTATGTAGGGGCAGAATTAGATTCCAAATGTTTTTTTTCCTCCCCTAGCCACACGAAGGTCTCCTGTTTTGATTATTTGCATTTGTCTTAGTAATTTGCAACAGGTCTAACTCTGAGAATGCAAAGAATATAAATCTTAGATGATGTCTTTTGCCTGGTGGTCTAACCAGCATTCCACAGATGAATTCATGATGTCAGTAGCTAGATTAGTAAATGACTATGAACATGTAATCCTAGGAAATGCAAAAACTCCTGTAAAGGGTTTTATAGCCCCAGATGCTTAATAAATCATTCTGATTGCAAATGTGCCTTTTTTTGTTTGGAAAGTGGCACATTGGGGCCCTACTGGACACAAAAAATAACAGTCAATAAAAGAAAATAACTATCATTTTAAGGAACAGGTCACAAAGACCTGTATACATAAACTATATGCATATATTAGACGCACATAGCATATATACCCTCAAAGGAGTATATATATAGGGTTGGGAGGATTAGATTTTTATTGGTAAGTGTTGGTAATTGTTGATTTCACCATACACACATGAACTGATGGAAAAATATTTCCATCAATAAAAATGGAGATTTACAAGTAAGTAAAGTAAGAAAAACGCTGCTTGAAAACTTAAAAAGTATGATATAGGGATATTTAGTTAGACGTGATGTTGATACTTTGTATTTTAAGAGTTATGAAGTTCTAACTGTTTGAATCTCAATGTCTACTATCATTAAATAATTATTGTTTGAAACCCTACCCCAAAATGTCCTCCCACTGTGAAAATTTAAATTGCTACGAATAAAAAAATGCTTAAAAGCCATAATTTGGTGCAACTGTGAAAATGTAAACAGATATAAAGCAAAAATGCTTAAAAATAAACATCAATGTTATCTGTAAAAATTATTTTAAAAAAAGAAAAAAAATCTGCTAAGCCTAAATATATATGGGTGATGTACTCTCAACTTGGATCTAAAACTAGCAATATCACAATGGAACAATGAATGAAACTGTAATACTCTGTAAGAGAGGATATACAGCAACAAAAGTATATTGCAATAAAACAACTGGAAAATGTGATCACTTGGGCCCTGTTTTGCCCATGCAGACCTCTGCACTCATATGCAGTGTTGTGCAGGATCAGGGCCTAGTTGTCTATCAAATCCTTAATAGCTATACTTCAGATAGATTGTGATTACATTTGGCAGGGATTGACTCAAAAATGACAGAATTCCCCATTATGCATCCATACAATAGGTTATACTCTGAGAAGATACCAGTACTTATAGTATAGATACCAAAAATAAAATTATAGGTTACAGTGAGACTTCTGTTATTTGTGATGTTACACTCTAAGATATCTTCAGTGAGCCTGGAATAATCAAGATGATTTAACAGAGAGAATTTTAAATAGCCACTGCCAACTTGAAATCTAGTCAATTTCAAATAATTAGCCAGAACTAGCTTCAGTTTATAGTGAAGTTCATAAAGTAACTACTTTGGATCTTACTGCAACAGATAAAGATGAATTAATCACTTGGCTGGATAGAAGTGATTGCCCCAAGTGACCTGTGATCATTACTTGATTACATTTGGTATGCCAATGTTTGCCACTTCAAATAATATTTTCCTCATTATAAATGTTTTTCCTCTCCTTGTTTGTGCTGTGAAAAACCCATAATCAGGGGAAACTGACTACAGTTAAGCTTTTATAGTGAAGCTGACTATACACAAAGTATGGTCAAATGCACAAAGCAAACAAAAAATTCAACTTTTTTTTAATCCTTTTCAATCACAGCAATTTTAAGTGCTACTTGTAACAATAGCAGATAAAAAAAATCAATGGCAGAAGTGTTATACTTAAGTAGATGCTATCCCTGTAAAGTGTGCCTTTACAATAGTTAAAGTTTATGCCCGCAATCTTTCAAACACTTATTGTCAGCAGCAGCCTTCTCCCAGCTCCAAAGCATCCACTGCCACTCCCAGTTTTTTGCAAGTTTTATTTTCTTTACAGATGTTAGCAAACAGAAAAACAGTCTTTTAACTCCTTCCTTAGCCTGAGGCATAGACGATTCATGCTTCCACATACTGGGGGGGCATAATCTAAAGGGGAGGACACATGAACGTCCCACATGTTTCTTCATCCCAACAACCCCCCCGCCCTGCACTCAGCTGGGGGCTCCTCTCCCCTCCCCACGTTACCTGCGAGGGTGGGGCAGGGGAGGGGAGGCTCTCTTCTTCTCCCACTGTGCCATCCTCCCCGCCCTCCGCGGCACGTTCAGCCACTCTCCCAGGCAGCTGGGCCCCGGGCAGAGAGTGGGACGGAGCTGCTTCCCACATGGCTCAAGCCAGCCACTCAGGGTTGCTGCTCTATGCATCAGCAGCTGCATGAGAGAGCCTGGTGGTGCCCCCACCTGAGCCCAGCTGCCAGAGACAGGGGCTGAGGGAGCTGGAAATGTGCTGGGGGAGAGAGGGGGCTCCAGGTCGTTCGGCCCTTGTCCCCAGCAGACGGACCTGGGGACAGTGCCCAGCTGCCAGGGACAGGGACCAAGCATGCTGGAGGGCAGGTGCAACAGGAGGACAGAGCCCCTCTCCCTCCCTGCCTTGGCAGGCCAATCGCAGGGGGGGCACTTGACCCCGCATGCCCCCACAGACACGTCACCTCTGGCAGGCTTAAGGGCCACCCCTCCCCAGACGTTTCTGGCACTCCTTCTCCTGGCAGCTTCCCAATTAAGTCAACTCTGCTCCCTTCCTGCCAGGGCCATCCCTAGCAATCCCCCGGGGCAAGCCTCCGCAGGGAGGGGAATTGGGGGGCGGGCCGGGCAGGGCTGGCTTGCAGGGCAGGGGGGAACCACCCCCCAGCACTCAACGGTGGCATGTCTGAAGCCGGGTCGCTGCACTCCCACTGCTGGTGAGTGCAGGCCCACCCTGGCTGCAGAGCAAAGGGGAGTGGGGGCGGGGCTGGGCCTGCACTCACCGGCAGCGGGAGTGCAGCGACCTGGCCTCAGCCATGCCACCGGTTAGTGCTGGGAGGGGGTCTGGGGCGGGGGCCCAGGGGAAGAGGCGGGGGGATGGGAGGTGGAGCAGGGGCGGGGGTCTGGGGAAGAGCTGGAGCAGGGGCTGGAGCAGCACGCAGCTGTGCAGGGCACCAGGAATAGGTCATACTGGTGAGGGAGTGCCACTATCTGTGAAAGAAAACATAGAGTCAAATAATAAATAATAAATAATCTTAAATGAATCAAACGGTACCGTAGAATCTCTATGGAGAGAAATTCCATGCTTGAATAATAAGAGGATAGCAGTGGAAATATATTACCGACTACCTGACCAAGATGGTGATGGTGACTGTAAAATGCTCAGGGAGATTAGTGAGGCTACGAAACCATAAAAACCCAATAATAGGGGATTTCAACTATCCTCATATTGATTGGGTACATGTCACCTTAGGACAGAATGCAGAAATAAAGTTTCTAGACTCCATTAATGACTGCTTCTTGCAGCAGCTAGACCTGGAACCCACAAGGACAGAAACAATTCTTGATTTAGTCCTAAGTGAAGCACAGGATCTGGTCCAACAGGTGAATAGAGCTGAAACCCTCGGTAATAGCCACCATAATATAATTAAATTTAACATCTCTGTGTGAAGGAAAAATACCAAAGAAGCCCACCACTATAGCACTTAACTTCAGAAAGGGGAAGGACATCAAAATGCAGAAGCTAGTTAAATGGAAATGAAAAGGAACAGTCACAAGAGTGAAATGTCTGCAAGCTACGTGGAAACTTTTTAAAAACACCATAATAGAGGCTCAAATTAAATGTATGCCCCAAATTAAAAACAACAGTAAGAGAACTAAAAAGTGCCCCCATGGCTAACCTACAGAGTGAGAAAAGCAAAAAGGCATCCTTTAAAAACTGGAAGTCAAATCCTACTGAAGAAAACAGAAAAGAGCATAAACTCTGGCAGGTCAAAAATAATTAGGCAGGTCAAAAAGGATTTGAAGAGCAACTAGCAAAAGACTCATACACTAATAGCAGAAATTGTTTTAAGTATATCAGAAGCATGAAGCCTGACAAATAATCAGTGGAGCCACTGGATGATGAAGGGGCTAAATGAGCGCTCAAGGAAGACAAGGCCAATGCAAAGAAGCTAAATGAATTCTTTGCACTGGTCTTCACTGCAGAGGATGTGAGGGAGATTCCCACACCTGAGCCATTCTTTTTAGGTGACAAATCTGAGGAACTGTCCCAGATTGAAGGGTCAATAGAAAAAATTTTGGAACAAACTGATACATTAAACAGTAATAAATCACCAGAACCAGATGGTATTCATCCAAGAGTTCTGAAGGAACTCAGATATAAAACTGCAGAAATACTAACTGTATGTAACCTATCACTTAAATTAACTTCTGTACCAGATGACTGGAGGATAGCTAATGTGATGCCAATTTTTTTTTCCAAAAGCTCCAGAGGCAACCCTGGCAAGTACATGATGGTAAGGCTAACTTCAGTATTGGGCAAATTGGTAGAAACTAATGTAAAGAACAGAATTATCAGATATGTTGATGAATACAATTTGTTTGGGAAGAGTCAACACAGCATTTGTAAAGGGAAATAATGCCTCAACCATATATTAGAATTCTCTGGGGGACTCAACAAATATGTGAACAAGGGTAATCCAGTGGAGATAGTGTACCTGAACCTTCAGAAAACTATTG